GGGTTGTGTTTTCTGTTTAATGGTAAGTATGGGTTGTGTTTTCTGTTTAATGGTAAGTATGGGTTGCGTTTTCTGTTTAATGGTAAGTAAGGGTTGTGTTTTCTGTTGAATGGTAAGTATGGGTTGCGTTTTCTGTTTAATGGTAAGTATGGGTTGTGTTTTCTGTTTAATGGTAAGTATGGGTTGCGTTTTCTGTTTAATGGTAAGTATGGGTTGCGTTTTCTGTTTAATGGTAAGTATGGGTTGTGTTTTCTGTTTAGTGGTAAGTAAGGGTTGTGTTTTCTGTTTAATGGTAAGTAAGGGTTGTGTTTCATTGGTTTTATGAGCTCCTTTAGAAATGTCCAGGATCACCAGGTCTGTTTAATGGTAAGTATGGGTTGTGTTTTCCGTTTAATGGTAAGTAAGGGTTGTGTTTGATTGGTTTTATGAGCTCCTTTAGAAATGTCAAGTAGAATATTCGTAATTTATCTACACATTTCAGAAAATATTAGAGGTGAACTTTTTATCATTCATTTCGAGTCCAGCTGAACACAGATGTATCACAAGTTAAGGTACATTTTAAAACTTATAACACGTTATTGTGTGTATTGTGTGTCTGTGATCGATAAATTCGGTAAGGTAGCCCGTAAAATATTATTGATAAGAAGATTAATTGGTCATAGCAGAAAATTAATCAAAGTTTCTAACGGTCCAAATGATTTGACCTGTTCTGTAAATGCGAATACAAATATTCCAATTCGTCTAAACATCACAAGTAAATTCACTGTACGTGAGTATTTTTGTATTATGCTAATTCATATTATACCTTTATACAATACGTTAAACATAAACTATTTTTAATACATTATAAACATTGAAAACGTACTCAGTTTTTGTGTACGTGTGTAACCATGTTGTTAAGCCTAAATGCCACAATAAAAATTCCCCTATATGAGCATTGAAGTGATTAGAACTTTTGTTTTTTTTTTACTTACTTAATCTCTACCAAAGGAAATTTTGTTCTCATTCTTTTATCTTGTGAAAGAAACGCAAGTTTATAACTGGTGTGGTTTTTTCATGTTGCTCAAACCATCACTGGTAAATAAAAAAAAAAAACGTTTATCTACGAATTAGCTGTGAGTATTGAAAAAGGAACGCAGAAGTAAGATTTGCGTACCATTTATTTGTTGAGTAATTATTTAAAGTCTATCAAATAGTCGCATGCCACGAAAGTTAATTCTTTTTGATAGGGTTAACCAAAGTGAGTGAACAGTTTTTCTTGTTTTTTTAAAGAGCATGAACAAAAACAGTAATAGATTATAAGTAATTACATTAAATGTTCAGATTTTCCCATTGGACTTATTATTGCCTACATAACACGCAGAAATCTACATGTATACTGTTCTTTTAAAAACTGTTTTATTTTGTCGTATCTACTTTATTTTTTAAGAATTTTAAATTTTTGTTGGTCCAACATGACAGTTTTCAAGATATTTCCGTACATTTGTATATATATATATATATATAAATATGCGCGAAAATCTTTTAAACTGTCACGTTGTGGCAACAAAAAAATAAAATTCTTAAAAAATAAAGTAGATACGACAAAATAAAACAGTTTTTAAAAGAACAGTATACATGTAGATTTCTGCGTGTTATGTAGGCAATAATAAGTCCAATGGGA